GACGGAATGATGGGCGTTTAACATAAAAGTTGCTGACTCGACAGGAAGACCAAAACGCTAAATCTTTCTCTCAGCTAGTTGCATCATTAAGGCGAAAACATTAAAGGACTGAAATAAGGGGGTAAAGGGCGAAATGCCGTAATCATGTCAGATGGTCGACGGAATAAAGGGGCCCGTTCATTCGTTGTTGTGCTGGAGGGCATCGGCGCGATCCGAGTCTGATTCTCAATTGTACTAAGAGCCTGTTTAAAAAACCTGCTCAGGGATTTGAAAAGTTATTAACTTTTTAGGTACAAAACGTTTTCTGAGAAAAATTATTTACGACAAAAGCTCAAAGAAACCAGCGCAAGCACTTGAACCTCAATCGTCAGAATCAAACCAGTATTTTTGTAATCAGTACATCATCATAATTATATTTAAAGGATGTTCTCAGATCCATCACTTCAAGTTATGGACTGGAGCTGCCAAGTCTGAAGAGCCTTTTTGAGGACAAACATCAGCGGACTTGTTGATTTCTTATTTAAACTCGGGACTTTTCCCCAGAAGAAACTAAAGAAATCGCATTTTTCCACACGATTAACTGGGGAACTTCGCAACATCCACTCCCCATCCCTATCATTTTTCACATTCCGTGATATATGTAGCGCTGGATTCGATCTGAAATATAAAGGCCATTCGAAAGTTGCTTTTATCTTGTCTGACTTGAGTTTGATTAACGCTTGGGAATATTGAGGCCACGTGAAACGGCTGGAAAAACCCCAATTTATTCCTCTCGAAAAAATCATTTGAATGACTCAAGTAAATTTGTAGCGACCGGGTATGCAGCCCACTGTGCAAGCCGGTGTAAGGCGGGTTGCAGTGACTGAATGGTGACAAGGGACTATTATGAATGTTGTGGTGGTGGAATGTTTTGTAGCTAATTGTCAATCAGAAATAAAGGAAAAACGTAAAAAACGGCTACAAAATCAAATTTTCAAAGGCTAATAATATTATTACAATTTTTTTTACCTGGGTTTCAGTCAAAATGTGAACCCATAATTGGGGAACATTAGATTCTTTTTAGGCTTGGCTGTCTTGAAAGTTCACATATCTTTGGATTATAATATGTAATATATCATATAATATATATTGATAGGGTTAAATTTAAGGAAGAATAGGATCGATGATAAAATTCAATAATTTTAATGAACGCCTGCACCGTCACCATCAAATCAATAATAATCCATCTCCCCTGGCAACCCCACGGATGTTCTGTGTTGTTGCGCGGAAGTACCG